CTAAAGCTTTTTCCAGTGTTGGAGGCTTGCTTTGTAGGCAGTCGTGTTTCTGCTCTGCCATATTGCCTGGCTCTCAGAGCCCGTTCCTCCTCCTTACCTGCTCAGTCTTGTCTCTTCCAGCTGTTGGGACAGTGACAGTGTTTGTCTGTACAGCCACTGATGCAACAGAGCCTCCGCTGTGTTAGGTTCTACAGGCACAACTGTGGTATAAAGGACTTCTGAAGCGTAATTTATGTGGATTGCTGAGCCCTGTTACAGACAGAGATGTACAGATAGAAGAGATAAAGTCTGTTTACAGATTGTGAGGTCTGTGGTTCACATGTGGTTATGTGATAAGCTGATAGAGGAGCGAGATAGTTTTTGTGCAGGCAGATTTACTGACCTGGTTACTTAAATTGGTGCTGTCATTATTTACTTTTCTCATGCCTGGGAACACTGTAGGTATGGATGCAAAAGAAGGCTGAGTCAAGTCTGTCTTGTGTTAGCTGATGCAAGTTGCAAAGTGTTAGTAGATGCCAGCACTGTGGCATCGAAGTGGTGTGGCCACGCAGTACATGTGCGTGCTGCTATTACGTTGGCAACTGGACATGTGAGCTTTTCTGGATGACATTTTTGTCATTTCCTAAGAGGGGATTTGACAGTCGTTCCAGATCCTTCCTCCCCAGAGGCTGATGTGGTTGTAAGGCAGTTTTCCCTTCTTGATGAGAAGCCAATGGGCAGCACTATGTGATAACAGAAATAATTAGGGAGCTGCAGAAGATCTTGCGCTCAGGAGAGGTGATGGTGCTGAAGTTCGATCTTACCCTGCTGCCTTCAGGACCTGCCAGGACAGTATTTCAGTTTGCCCTGAGGAGGTTTTGCACAGCCACTTCTGCACCACTTCTTACTCTGGATCCATCCAGCTTGGACTAGGTTTGTCTTTAGAAACCAGTGTGGGCTTACTGCAGCCAAACTCCTGGATCTTATTTTGTGTTCCTTCTGTCTAGCTTTGTCCTCTGTTCTTTCTCTCTCCAAATTACCTTGACACATTGCTGCAAAAGCCTTTCTTGGGGTTGCTCCTACCACTGGGGACTGCCATCAGTATCTCAGACTGCTTCTCTGCCCTTATGATCATGAGCTCCTGGGCCTGTGGGCAGCCCTGCACAGGCAGAACATCCCATACTATTCCTGAGGAGCACCTGTGGCACATCCGCTTCAGGTGCTGGCTTCACTGGTGGTGAGCCAAAGGAGGTCAGATCTCCTTCACAAGCCCCTCGTCCTCCCCTGGCCCCGATAACAGCTGGCTGCATGTGCAAAGTGATTATTCGTGCATGCTAATGCTGACAAGGGACCCCAGAGGTTTACAGGGAGCACTCCAGTCGGGCTTCCTGGCAGCTCCACCGTAACCCCTAATGACAGAACTGCCTCCCAGTAGAGGAGATGGGGATGTGAGTGGAAAGGGGTGAAATATTCCTATGATGCACACTGTCTGTGTTGTTATTTAGATTTCTTACTTACTTAGATCAACTTAGATCTTTAATTTTATCGTTCTTTTTAACAAGCTGCCATATGTCTTCACTTCTCCAGCAAAGGAGTGTTTTGTAGCCCCAGTCTGGTTTCGTGGGCAGGGGGAGTGTGGGGAACAAGCCTGTGGGAGTGGAAGAAAGCAGTGCTATTGTGCCACTTAAGGTTTGGTCTTATTACCCCATAGCTGTTGGCAAGGTCCTTTGTGGTATTGCAAATGTGTTGATGTTTTGGGTGATTTTCCATGGATGTATTTCCTGAGCCTGGTGTCTTATCTGGAGTGTCCTGGCCTGGATGGTAGAGTGCTGAATTTTGGGGTGGTTTCTGGCTTTTTAGGTTTAGGGGTTTTTATGTCGTCATCCCCCCCACCCTTGTCTTTATAACAAACTTTTACACTGCCTTTTCAAGTGGTATAATTAAATTGTAAGAACTGGAGCCCTAATTACCCTCTCCCATGTGAGGGTTGAGGAGCTCATCTTCAGAGAGGCTGTTGGCTGAGATCCAAAAGAAACAAATCTCAGAGCAGAGACTGTGTCTGTTTTTATATTTACTCTTATTGAGGATAATGGTCATTACCAAGTGATATCAGAGCAGGTTGCTCTTTGCAGGTTATTTTTTGTCTGACTGTAAGTGAAAGCAGAAGGAAAGCAGAATGAGTCCATTTCTGCTATTTATGTACATGTCTTTTTCTGCTTTTTCCAAACAATCATTAGTATAGCATCTGAGTTGGTGGGTCTGGCATGTGCAAAAATCTGCACTGATGCATGAAAAAATTACTGATACATATTTAGACACTTCCTATTCTGGGAATTTGCTCCTCTTCCATCCCTTGCATCAATGCAGATAGCTTGCATAAACAGACTAAACTCCCAATGCAGCGCTGCGGAGAATCTGCCTGCTAAATGGTAAGAGACACACTGGAGCAAGCTGCTGCTTTCTTTCCTGTGATAATGGATGTGCATTCAAGCAGCTCTGTGAGTCTCTACAAATGGAGCAATCCCAAAAGCAGGGCAGGCTGAGATCCCGTTTCCTTCCAATGAAACAGCTGTTCTTATCTATATCTTTTTTTTAATAGAACTCATGCAAACAGAAAATGAATTGGTAGGAGTTGGAGTGGTAGGATTTGCTAGCTGCTTGCACACAGGTACATCTCAGTAGTAATGTTTTGTTGCCTTTCTCAGCTATAAACCTTGCAGAACTTTTCTAAGATAGTAACCAGATTTCTAAATGATGCCTAAGGAACAATTGCACTTTTTTTCCCCCCATGGTTTGAAGTTGCACCAAATTGGTGGCAGAACTGGCAATAGAATTGTCTTGATACCCATTTTGGTTCTCAACTGACGCTAGAACAATTGTCTGCGCTTGTTGGAGCTTGACAGACCTTGTTGCTGGAGGTAGGTTTCAGCATTACACTTGTTCACGTCAACCACCTAATATTTGTCTTGGCAAGGCTGAGATAGCCACAAATATATGTGCATCCTGGAGACATTTGTGAGTGTCTAGAAGAGCATCTACAAATGTTGACTGTGGTGCAGGCTGACTTTAGTTAGCTGTCTGGCAGTCACCTCCAGCAGGGCTGCAAGGGCTCCTCTGCACCTCTCTGTCTGTCAGGGGTAAGGTGGGAGGATGATCTGAAACTGATGCCTCCTCCTGAGATTCCCTGACCTTCGAGTTGCTTAGATTTAGCTCATGGGACTGTTGAAGGACTGCAGGTGAGAGAAGACAGGATATTTTTGGTCCCTAGGTTTGATGTTGCCACAGACTTTCTGTACAAATCCCACGTGGCAAACCAGCTTTTCGGCAAAACTCCAAATCCCGGCTCTTTGTTTTGTAACGTAGCTTTGTTAAGAGGAGAGATGTTCATGTTATTCAGTGAACAGATTACATGTTTTAGCTCCACCTTCCACTGCTGTCTGGGGAAAACAAAGATGCGGCAGACAACAGGAAAATAACTGTCTTCTCAGGCTCAGATTCCCAGCCTCCTGGAGAAGCAAAGAAAGCGTTTACAGGTTACAGTGACTAGCTTTGGCTATGATGTCAAAATGTGGAACTGACATGAATTTAGTACGATTCTTAAGATAAACGTGCTTCTATACAAATGGGATTGCAGGCGCTCCTTCCTGGTAAGCTAGTTGCGTGCTTTGTTAGTTCCTTAAAATGATCATTTCTGTCTTCAGCATAATATTCTGATTTTAATGCATGTGTCCATAGCACTGCCTTCCTCATTTCCATCTGCAATAAGCATTTGGGATGTCTCCACAAAGGTGTGCTCTGATCTGCAGCACGCTGCAAACTTACTGTTTGTTGTTCCTCACACTTGCAGAAAAGCAGCTGGAGAACATTGGAAGAATTAGCACCAGTGCTGGCAGCAGCATTGGATTTGGTGGGGCTCTTGCAACCTTTGCATCTCGGTGTCTCTAATCAGTTTAAACATGACGGGTTTTCAGTGTTTTCATTTTCTAAATTGATTTATCTATGTAAAAGGTACAAATTGTCCTCTGCTGGGAACAAGTTTCCAGGCTTTTTAATCTTGCTGTTTGTCAATGCGAGGAATAGTCAGTGTGAATCATCCTCTTTTCTTTGTACTGTTTCACTCATTTCCCCAGGTCTTTTGACTGACTTCATATTCACTTCAGCTTGAAATGTCCTTATAGCTTCACTTCTACATTGTTTAGGATGACAGTTAGACCATGAAGACCCTTTACCTGCCTGCCTAAGCAAATGTGTATGTGGTTTTCTCCCATGACCCTTCTCTGTTCTTCAGCTCTGCCTAATCTGGTGCTGGAAGTGATTCACTCTTGCTCAGTTTGAAAATTACCTCCAGCAGGTCTGTGTGCTGTTATATGCCTCCTTCTTCTGGAGCTGTGGCAGATGGTCTTTACCTTCACTTGCCAGGTGTGGCTCCAGGACACATCCCTCAAATGTAGAGTGAATGGGGTTGCTGGGCTTGGGGTTACAAAATTTGAATTGTTTTTTGTTTTCTGAAGGACCTTTTTAAGACTAGCCCCTTGTGGTCTGGGCTTGGAGATACCATCAAGATACTTCTTTTTGGTTTTGAGTTATCTTCTGCCAGATATAAAAGCTGTCCTGCTCTTTCTCTTTGAATCTTTTCACAGACAGTGCTCTTTGACCACCATCCTAACAGTAGCAAGTTCTTGGAAACTTTACTTCCTAAATTTTATGTTAATCCTCTGATCAGAAAGTCTACTGAGGTACTTGGGCATGCTAGAATGGGCTGCTTTTCTACTGGTTAGGGCCTGGCTTTGGAATGTGGTCTTAACACAGTTCACTGTGTCCTGACCAAGCAAACAGGGAAATTAAATTGGCTAATGCAGCTTTCCACAATGCTTGTCCCACAAACTTAACTGAACAGCTTCCAAATTACTGTTAGTTGCAACTAATTGCTGATGAGGAAGCACACCAATGAGAGTTCAAACCTGAATGCATTTGATTGCCTTTCTTGTAACCATTTTTCTTCCAATATATGTTTTTTGCAGTGATACTGAAAGCCGAAAATTATGCAAGAAGATGAAAGTAGATCCTAATTCAAAGGAGAAAGGAGTGGAATTACTCCATTATAAGTGAGTGCTGGGCTGGGTTTTATAGTTCCTAATTGTTGATGCCCCTGTTAGGACCATTTGTTTTCTTTGCAGCTCCATACTGCTGCAGTATGAAGACTTCTTATTTTTTATCCTTTGACATGTGAAATTGATTGCTGTTTCTTCAGCTTTCAAGCATGTGTTGTGACAGAAGTTGAGATAAATTTGTACTGCTGTTGAATAGAGTACACTAAAAGCACAAAGGGGGTCTGGGAGAGATGCCCAATGGGCTAAAACTAACCCAGTCCCCAGGGCTGATGCCTGAGATTTGAGCTCTCTTACTTTCTTTGTCCTGTGCCTGCTGGCATGTGCCTTGGGCAAGTCACTTCACCTCTCTGAGCTTACTTTTCTCATTTAAAATAGTGCTTTGTAAAGTAAGTGGAGAAAGGCAAGTGTAGTGAGACAGCAAGAGATTTTCTTCCTGGAAATAATAAAAGTGGGAGTACTGTTAAGTGTAAGAGACTCCAAGCAGCTGCATCTCCCATCTCCAAAGATCATGCCTTAGTAAATATTCTTGCTGAAGTGTTGGAGAGGAAATTATTTACTAGAAACCTGTTTGCTTTACACTGTGTTTTGCACCCTCCCTTTTTCATTACTCTTTTTTTCCCCCCTTAAATTACTGTACTGTAAATTCTACTTGGTTCCATGACTTCAATAGGATAATGTTATTCTGGTTAGTGAGAAGTGAGGGAGAGCAGCTGTATGATTTCCACCAACGTTGCTGTAAGTTAACACTATTTCCCACTCCTTATTCAACAGGGATGGTGCATTTCATACTGAATATAACAGAGCGGTCACATTGAAGGTAAATTTAAATATTTGATTATTGTTCTTTTGGTCTTGCTAGATACAGGGGAGTTATTTGTGGATTAAAAACAGGTGTTGGTACTTTTTCATGCTGAAGGCATGAAAGGGAGGGGGTTATTCTTCATAAACAGCTGTCGGAATGACCTAAGGTTTTTGTGTGTGTATGTGTCTGCCAACCACAGATCCAGAAAAATTGTGTATTATTAAAAAGATTGAACCTGTTGAACTGTAATGTAAATTGTGAGTTAACTTGCAGACTGGTAACAAATACATATTTTCTTGTTTTCATTACAGCGATAGTATAACTAGAAGTATTAGCTGATGCTGCTTTTTGATAAGGAGTTCTCTGGGGTTTTTAGGTCATGTGTTTATAAACTTTACAGAGAGCTGAGTGGCCTTATCTTTTATCAGATTACGGAACCACAGTTCCTATGGATGTGCCCTGAGTGCAAGAGGGATAAAATGACCTTCCTTATTCTCCTGCAAGCCTTGACACAAAGCAACAGACAGCAAAGTTCTGTGAGGGCAATAGAAGATGTGAAATGTGGAACAAATGTGTAGATCTTGATGATTGTGGACTGAAAGCACAGTAAGCAGGGCGAAAGTGTGCCACCTTCCTCTGCAAAGCCCTATTGAAGCACTGGGTGTATCCTCACATGAGGCTCCAGCCCTGCAATGATTTGGCTTCCGGAAATTAATTCTGGCCAGCTCTGATGCCCAGTTCCCATTTCACTTCCTCCTTCAGCAAACCTGTCTCTGCACCATCGTTGGTCTTGTGGAGGTTTGATGACACCATCCCAGGCTGACATTATTACATTTTCTTCCCCTTTCTGGCTTGTTCACGAGTTTGGCCTGGGATGGAGGAAAGCCTGTGAGAGCTGCTGCATGAACCCGACTCTGTCAGAGTGGCTGTTCCTAGGCGTGCTTGCTCTGGACCTTCCTTTTACAGCCAGAGTTGTTGTGGGGTAGCTGATGGGGGGACTGTCTTGGAAGCACACCCTGGCTTGAATCATCCATTCAGCCTGCTCTTGGGGTTGTCATGCAAGATTCACGTGAGCTGGGGAGGCTACACCTGTGTATCTTCCCATCTGCTGCAGTAGAAGTCTTGCCTGGCACTAGGAAGGGCAATGTTAGATACCCAGCCTGGTCAGCAAGTGCCTGAGGCTCCTGCACTTAGTGAGGAAATGTGCCTGGTGAATCTTATTTTTAATTCTTGGTGGGTGATGGGGTGAGGGAGACTTGTTAGTTGCCTAAATTCGGATGATTTGAACAGTGCATGAAATGTCTTTCCTGTCCTCCATAAAGTGCTGCAACCAGGAATTAGTGCTGTGACTCTTCCTTACGGATCAGATCAACGGGAAAGCACCTGCAGAGCCCCAGGGAGTGTTGGGCTGCGAGGCAATCATAGCACAACAGGAACCATACCATTTATTCCTTCATTTGCTGTTTTGTGATGAGCGTTTCCCACTTCGCTCTTGCCCTGCCTGCTGGGAGGAAGGAACGGTATCCCGTGGACAGGGTTGTGCGATTCTAGTGTGGATGGAGAAGTTTTGAAGCTTCCTCCCTCTAGGAGCTCTAGTCTTTCTTAATTTAACTGTCCCTGTGAAACCAGCTGCTAATGATTTACAGGTTGGAGAGTGCATCAGAGCTGTGCAGTGGTCAAAGAAGTCAGCTGAGTGTTTACTTGTTCTGCTGCTCACAACTTCCTGAATATCTTCTGTATTTCTCCCTCAATACCACTTCTTCACCCTATTTTCTTCTGTTGAGGCAATGACCTTTCTTTGTCTCTCTCAGCTGTGTTTGTCAGGAGTGTCCCAGTATGTTACAAACAGCAAGCAGCAGAGCAACACAATTATGTAGGGTATCATACCCATTTTATGGACAGGTGGGCACACTGAAGAACAGGGAGATTAAAGGATTTGTTTCACATCATTCAGCAAGCTTGTGGCAATAAAACTTGAATCTTCTTTCCAGGCATCCAGTAGACATATTAATATATGTATGACATTTTGGAGAATGATGGACACGGCTCTGGAGAACTGTAAAAGGATTCTTCTGAAGTAATCGGCAATTTCATAGATGTGGTTGATCCAGCTGATAGTGTACTTGGGTTTTTAAGAAAAGCTTTTCATTTCTTAAAGTCACTAAATCCTTACGTAATTAGCAGAGATGCCCTTGTGGATTTACTGTTAGAAAAATGAGGACTAAAGGATAGCTCAGTGCTCACAGTGGAGGGAATTTTGTTAGCAGTCAGAACCTCCCGCTGCTGAGACCTGTGTTAGGATCTTAGCTGTTTGGAGTATCTGGTAAAAGGAGATGGACTGCAAGATTACAAAGTTTGGGGATGCAAAATTATTAGGAATAATTTTAAAAAAAGTATTTCCAACTCTTTGCAGAAGGGCTTAGGTTCTCACAGTATATGAAGTGGCTTATTAATATGAAAGTAGGAACTTGCAGGGTAATGAATATGAGAGGGAAAGAAAGGACGCAGCTCCAACTATCCTGGAGTAATGCAAGCTATTGTAATGGGTTTTGAATTACCAGTCAGGTAATTTTCAAGCAGTTGGCTGGAAAATATCGGTCCTATGCTTAACTGTTTTTAAAAGTCAAATGATTAGGACAGGAACAAAGAATGGAAGAGGATATGTTATTCTATCGTCTGAGTCCGTTGGGTTCCTTCATCTTGTGTCTTGTATATGGTTCTGGTTGCCCCATGAAGTGAAAGGTGTAGAAGTGCTGTAAAAGGGCAGTGAGGATGATCAGATGTATAGATGGCTTGAACATTTACGTGAAGATTCTTGGGCTTGGAAAAAATGGCAACTGGAGGAGATTATGATAGATATTTGTATAACTGTGAGTAGCTTAAAAAGGGAATGATTACCTGTTTTTTTTTTTTTTCTCCAAATTTGGGTAGAAACAGTGTCATTTTGGGACAGCTGATTTGAAACAAATAACTGCAATGTTTTAAAAAAAATAATTGTGGAACTTGTAGCTAGATGTTGTGAAAACCAAGAATTTAAGAGTCTTAAAACCAGTTTTAGATAGTCAGTCATAAAGGATAGATCCATTGATAGCAAGCACAGAAGTCCAGCTGGTGCAGAGAAAATAAACTTAGTTTTTGCCAGAAATTGAGAGCATATACCAGTGTGTGCTGTATAAGAATGGTACTAGTATGGTTTTTCCCCAAGTATATGTAGTCAGCTGCTGTTGGAGACGTAAGCTTAGATCAGTCTTTGATCTTAACCAATGCATCTATTCATACACTGCTTTAGCCACACCATGTCCTAATCCTTGATAGTGCTGTAAGGCCAGTATCCAGGCTATGTTTAGTATATGATGAAGTCTTTTCTGGAGGATAAAGTACAGGGACAGTTTTACCCTCCTTCTAAAATGGAGAAAACTCATTAAAGTACAGATCTTCTCAGTACTAGCAAAGGGAATAGACTAACCCAATAAATTGGTCCTTTTCTAAACTCTAAATCCATTGCAAGTTTGCTGTTGTAAGGAGTGTGTGTGTGTGTGAAATCAAGGGAGGTATCTCTACTGCATTATACTTCAAAGGAGTGAAAAGTACAGGGATGTGTTTCTGTGTATATATATTTTTTCCCAGGTTAAAATCTAGGTCCATATATGGTAGCTTGCTATTGCACTGTTAAAACTTGCTTTTAGCAGCACAGACTGGATGAAGCCATGTCCTGTGTTCTGCTGAATCGATGTTGAAGGTTCAAAGCTGTCGCAGGTGTTTGGGCAGCAAGTTACAGCCCAGTGTGGCTCTGTCAGTGCCATGGAGTCAAAGCAGGTCCTGACCACATCATGGCAGAACAGGAGCGAAGGTGATTTTTCAATGTGGGTGTTGCTGTGGCCTGAACCTTGCTCTGGTCTCTAACCTGGCAGCCTGGGGACCACTGCTTTCTGTGATTAGAAAGTGGTGTGGTTTGATAAGGGGGGATTCTTTCCTATTTAAAGGCACACAGAAAGTTCTCTTCACCACATGGAGTAATGAGTGGAAGGCAACGTGTTATCTGCTCCTGCCAGAAGACATTACACATCTAATTTTTTTCTGTCTTGGCTGAGAGGGAGAGGCTGGATGAATTAAATCTCTTTAATCCCCCATCCTCTAACCACATCTGTTTCTACATGACTGAACTTGGCACACAGGAATTCTTGAAATTAGCAGAGTCAGTTGCACTCATTAGCCCTTTAAAATGTTGACCCCTCTCTCCTCCCCTCCAGTGTATAGTTGAGGTCCGTGCAGATTGAGAGCTAGCAGAACTTGATGTAGCTCTCGTAAATGTAGAACATCTCCGCTGTTTTGTCCTCTTCTCTCCTTTCCCCATATATTGTTGTGTTCTTAGAACATAATTTGGGATGTTAATACCTCTAGTTTTAGAGCTTTTTACGACTGTAACTCCATTATAAATCTTTATTTTTCCTAACTAACTCCTTTCTCTGTTAATACCATATTAAAACAAACTTCTCCTTGAAGTGTTTGTGGTCCCAACACTACTACCTCACCCCTTAGGTCTTCTTACTGTGTACATTAAGTGCTTTGGCTTGCTGTCTAGTGACTAATACATGCTGCCTCTTGTGATAAGACAAATCTCTTCTATATTAGCTGTGCAAGTAGACAGAAACATAAATGCAATAAATGGATCCTACAGTAAGCTCTGAATCCTCCTGGGCCTTGCAATACCAAATGAGATGCAGGAAAATGAGCTGAACTCCACTATATGTTGATAAGCTGTTGGGATATTGTACCAAAGCAGCCCTACCAAAGGCAATGAGGTGACAAAGATGTTTTGGACTGTTTCAGCAGCATGTGTCACCAGGCATGCTGCTAACCTGGTCTTCAGAAGGTGGAGTGCAAACCCAGGCTTTAAGCGGTTGCTCTTGGCATGTGTTAGTATATACTCAGTTCTGCTCTTCAGTCATCTGCTACTTTGGCAAAATATCCCATGGGCTGAAAAAGGCTTTAACGAAGCTTTTCTTTGTTCCAACTCCAAGTAAGTTCACACCAAGTAAGTTCATCCACTCACTCTTACATTGAAGTAAGCTCTTCGGAGACCTCACTATGTTACTGGTCTGGCAGAGATCCTCTCTGGGAGTGGACACATACCTACAAGCAATGCCACAAAGAAACGGGATCAGTCTGAGTGGTGAATGAACACAGAATACCAAGTATTATGTTTCTTAGAGCACAAACATCTAAGATAATAGTGATCAAGCCTGTGCTTCTATGTACAGCTGGAAATGGGCAGCAGTGTAACTCTAGTGGAATCTCATTGACTTTGGAGGACTGAAGTTTCCCTCAGGCTCAGGCTGAAATCTGAACCATCAGAGAGTGTTTCCTTATAAAGAGAATAACTGTGGTCTGCTGAAATGGATTGTTGGTTGCGTGTCAGTTGGGTAAAGCAGTTTTGAAGTGTGTGTCCACATGTACTTAGCTTATTGAATATGGGAACTGTAGAGTCATAGGGTCTTGTATTTTCCAATTCTCTTGTCACATTTGCTTCTTACTCTCCTACTTAAAAATCCATTGAGTGCAGTTTCTAGGTAGATGGGTCATAGAGGGAACTATTGGTGGATTATTTTTCCTTTAACCAAATAAGCAGTTTGATCTGCTTTTCATTGCTTTTCCTCACAGCAAGTATCAGTGTGCCCTCCAACTAGTCCTATTGGATTTGAAGGTTACTCAGATATGGTGAAGGGCATGGGAACTTGACTTCTACATAAAGATATATTTTTCCTGCTAAATCAAGGAATAGCTGTGGAAGTATTGCAGATCTGGTAGCATTGAAAGAGCTCTCTGAAGGATCCTTGAAGCTACTGTCTGCTTGCTGGTCTACTTCCCCACTGTTTTATAGTGGTAACTGATGAGTTGGGATATCAGTTATGGGGAAGGTGCACACCCGTGTATCACTTGGTTCTGTAATAGGAGATATGTGTTCATCTGCATTGAAGCAGATCAGTGCGTGAGCAGAAAGCAAAGGCACTAATTGGATGGAGTTTGCATGACAGCATGGAATTGAGATTGAATATCTCATGGTTTCCATTCATTTTACTTTAAAAGCTTTTTTCCCCTGTTTGTTGCAGTCTATGGTGGCCTTTCTCAAGGATCCAGAAGGTGCTCCACTGTGGGAGGAGGATCCTGAAGCCAAAGATGTTGTGCATGTTGATAGTGAAAAGGTACGTTAGCTGGATAGATGTTCTACATGTTTTATAAATATATGGGATGAAGGGAGTGTGTATGTTTATGTTAACACTTAATGAAACATCTTTATTTCCTTTCTTTGTAAGGGAAGTTTAAAGCACTCAAACTGTTTTAAGTGACTTGACAGTTTGTGGACTGTGATAACTAGAGAGTAAAATTCCCTGCTTCCTGCCTTCCTCTCCCCTACTTGTGGTCATGATATCAGTCTGCCAGCTACACGGCAAGTATCAAAGCATTATGGATGGTGTGGAAGAAGAGACCTGTTTGTCTCGGGAAAGTGTAGCACCTTGCAAGATGCAATCATTGCAGGATGCAAGTAGGAGGTAAAATACTGCTCTTAAAACTACAGGTTGTGGTTAAACCTTGGGTTCCCTCAGGTACCTGAAGTTGTCTCAGGAAGTCTGGAGAAGGAAGGAACAGGATCCAGATCTTCAGTGATTTAACCTTGTACAGTAGCTGTCCTCTTGCTGTTAGGTGGGAAAGCAGCAAATATGATGAAACTACCTTAAAAAACTAGTGCCACCACAGAGCTACCCATTATATTCTCTCTAATATAATCAGCTTGGTCTTTTGTATTAGTTTTCTAGTCTATAGATTTTTAAAACTTTAATTGATTGGACTCTAGCTGGTATTTCATAAAGGGCCTTTTCAATTTTCTATCTTTCATTTTTAATATTAGAAACAATTATTTTGACATTCAGTTTTTATAGGAAGATTAATTTTTAATATTCACCCTCTGTACTCTATTACAAGCCTTCCAAGGATTGCATGCAATTTGAAAACTTCATCTGGTTTCTCTGTCATGCTGGTACTGAAAAATCTGTTCTCATGGCTTCTCATAGCTCTGACAGGGTTTCATAGTGTGAAAACTGAACTTGGTTTGTTTATTATTGAGTCTGACTTTTTGAATTAGAGTATGGCTTTTTGGATAGGTCAGGGAAGAAAATGTTTCTAGTCAGAGATTCTGCAGTAAGAATAAACCAAGCCATGCAACTTCCACATCTCGACAGTGAAGATACTGATCTAGGATATTTAGCAGATACTCGAATCTATAATAAATCTTTCCATCTTCCTTCAAGTTAAAATTGAACAAGGAGAAGAAACTCAAGTCGTCTTTTTAGGAAAGATGACCCCTCTTCCCTCAGATAAATGAACCTGTATTCTACGAATACATATATAAACTTTTTAAAGTTGTAACACAAGTAATAAGAGGTGTCCTTGGGTATAAGTTAGTTTTTATTTTCTTTGCTTCATTCACTAGGAATTGAGAAGGCTTCTGAAGAAGGAAGACAAACCCCTTCTGATGATGTTCTATGCCCCATGTAAGTAACTCAGCACGTCCTGTCACCTCTTTCTCCCTTCTCCAAGAGTTGTCCAAGTCTGAGGAGAAGCCTCACCTGTTCTTCACTCATACCATCTTGTCTCATCTTTATCATTCAACTCCTTGTGTTGTTCTGCCTGTTTGTCCTCATTTTTTCCCTAGTTGTCCATTGCTTGTATCCTAGTCTAGGCTCTTTCTCTTGTGATGATGATGACTCTTGCTCGTAGTTCTTTTAAGCAGCTGCTTTCTGTAATGTCTTTACCTGTTGTCCTTTCTAGATTTGTGTTGTACAAGACAGAAACACTGTATGCTGAGTGCATAAGTGTTAATACATCTGTCTGAGAGCGCCTAGCCCGCTGACCTGTACAGAGCTGTAAGTGCAAATGGGTATTGCACATGGGTTTTACTTTTGCAGTTTGGACCATAGCATAAGACAAGCTGGTTCCACACAAGCAGAAGATCTCTGGAGACCATGCAGTTGAAAAAAACAAATGTATTTGTTCTTCTTAACTGCAGGCAGAGGGAACAGTGCAGTGGTCAGGAGCAGGAATATCTTTTGTACTTCATCCAGAAGGCACCTTGGGTGTTCCTACCCACACTGGCAGGAGTAACTTGAAGTGGGATTTCATGGCAGGGGCAGGAAGGAGAGAGAACAGCACATTGGAGTCATTGCATTTCTTTTGTGACCTTGACTTTGTATTGCTGCTATCTTGTCATTGCATTGGCCACTTGTTCCTTAATTTTGCAGATTTACAACCTTTTTTTGTATTTCCTGGTGACTGCTATGTGAGAGGCTTTCCACCTCTTCAAAACAAGATAGAGTTCCACTGGAGTTGTTGCCCAGCTGGAAAACAGAGGAGCCATGAGACAGGAATGAAAGCGTGACCTGAGCTAGAAAAGCCTCCCAATGCTGCCCTGATAGGGAAATTGATGTTAGGCACCATTAGCAATTTGCTGGCTGATTCTCTTTAAAACTATGTCCCATGGCAGCATTATCTGTTGTTTCTCAGTGTATTTTCTCTTGTAATTACTGCCTGAAATGGCATTCTACCTTTTTCATCTCATCTGAGTACTGCCGAGATGGCCAGAATTGCCCAAGACTTAGTTTGATGCATGACTAAGAATGTTTTTTCCTTTAATTCAATTAGTTGCAGCTCCATGTCTTCAGACTCTGCAGCAGGATGGTGCTGTGTGGCCTGGCAAGGCGTGTGGTTGTTCCCAGTCGCTGCTGCCGCCTTGGTATCAGTGGGAGACGATACGCCTGCTCTGCCTGTAAATTGCCCCTTCGGGGAGAGTTCAGCTGCAAAGTACTTTCACAGTTTACCTGTAACATGAATAATTGTTTTCCACAACTGAGTCTCTTCCTGAAATGTGCCTTATCTAACCCTTCGTTCTCTTTGAACCGTTCCCCCAGAAACCCTCCTCCTTCCAGTTTCTCTTCTTTTGAAGTGGCAAAACACCTGCTAGTTTTCAGTGCTGTAGTGCTTTTGCCGCTTTCTAAACTGCTGTGAAGGAAGCCTACTTGTAAGATTCTTTTCCTCCCCTCTGATTTTGCAATTCTTAACTCCCTCATCTTTTATTTAACACACGAGACCTTCTGACTTGGTTCTTGTCCAATTTTTCAATTTTTTCTTACTGCTGTTACTGGAGACAGAACACATCCAACAGTGGCATTAAAATACTGGCTTTGGGCAGCTGAAGTTAGTGGTTACATACAGGTGTTACTTTCATAAGTGGGAGCAGCAAATCGAGTCTGGTCACTAAAGGAAATTCTGCTTTTCTTTACTTGTGAGGGGTGACTCAGGGAGGTCTTTGGCACAAGAGGACATCAGACTCTTTGTCTGGGAAACTACAAGGAAGGCAGCAACGTTATTTCTCTGCTTTTTGGAAGCAGGGGCTTTAGATTCATTGTGGCAGATTCATAGGAAATGGGCTCTTTCATTACATAGCAGTGCAGAGGGAGATGAAAGCAACTGCGAACTTAAATATAGTTTCTTTAATATTTCAGGAATGCTTAGCCTGGGTAAAACGGCTCAGAGTAAAGGCATGCTTTCCTTAAAAGATATTACGTGCCATTTGGAGACCATTCACTGTACTTTCAGACCTATATTGTAAAGTCAGACAGCACTAAATGTGAAAAATTAGGTATACTTATGGGCATTCAGATTTATTTGTAGTTAACTCTGTCAAAGAAGACTCCTGCAGGAGGCAGTCTGGATTTGGCAACAAAAAGGAGCTGTTCATAGCATAATTGAAAATGAGGCTTTAAAAAGGGAGGTGTTAACTAGTGAAAAAACTAATATGTGTTTGATTAAGCCCCCCCTTTTGAGACAAAATACAAGAGGAAAGAACAGAAGAAAATGAGTTTTTTCGAGGTTACCCTTTTATCCCTGTATAGGGATATATGTGGCTTGATAGTGTCCTGAACAGTATAACCCAGAAATGTGTGGGCAGGAGAGGTTAGACTGAAGTGGGTTTGGCAGCAGCAGAGCTGGGAACAGAAGGACTATGCGGGTGATGGAGGAGTGGAGGAGGCTGGTATGTGCCTGTGCTCCAGAAGGGAGTCCAGGGAGCAGTAAGAGGTTGAAGAGGGGAAGAGAGGGAGATCAATAGCTGGGAGAATTCGGAGCCTGAGGCTGCTGAAGGGAGTAGAAACAGAGGATTCAGAAGATAGTGTTAACAACTCATGTCCTTTGATGTCTGTCCAGTGGTTTGGATGAAGCTGCAAGATCTCAGTGAGCCTCAAATGAGTGGTCCGTGCCCACCAAGAAATTGTCTTTTTGACCAGCACTAATTTAACAACCTCACTGGCAATTTCAGCAGAGAGATCAAAGGTGGAAAGACCGCAGAAACAAGAGCTCTCTTTCCTCTGATTAAAGGATGTTGTTCATTCTTCCCAGGCATGCTGATGTGATCCTAAATCAGTGGCTGCATAATCTGTTCCTCCTTTCTGGAAGATACTTCCACAGCTCTTGTCTCTTCACCAGAATAAAAATATTGACTGCTGTTACACAGTGGACCCAAGAGTTTCCACAAAAAGTGTCTGAAGTGCTTGGCTGCAACTTCCTTCCTTTCATGCTGTCTGCCCTCCCTCCCCTTCCCATGTGCATGCACATATTTTACTTGGCAGGGGTGAAACCTGGTGCTTACAAGGTGATTTAATGCTAATCTGCTTAGCACTCCAGAGCATCATCAAACAGCTCTTAGCATGTTCCTGCCATACGTTGGTAGTCTTCCTCACTCGCCATTTGTATTTTCCTCATCATGTAAAGTTATTGTATCCTTCAAGGGCTATTGCTTCTTCTGAGTTATGTCTTCTCAATTAACAGAGCACTGTTTAACTTTTGATGTCTGTTTAATGTGTTTAGGAAATGTGTCTCAAATGAATTTCAAAGACTTGTTAAGCTGGGATGAATCTGAATTACCTCCCCCTCTCCCTTAAAGACCAGAAATGCACAGAGCTTTTTGTTTGAGTTCACAAGCATGACATCTTCCGTTGACTTTTGAAATGTGAGTTTCATCTTATGTTCCCCTCTGGGCTTAGCTCGGACCCTGAGGAATATAAGGTGGTGTTACTCTTTCCAAAACTGGGATGAGAATTCAGTATGAAAATTAATAGCATGAAAACATGCAAAAATAGCTGTATGTAACAAGAAATAACAACCTTATAAACTAATAATCTAATAATTATTAAGTTAAATACATAAGGAATTTAGTTTTAAATTTTTTTGTATATATAAAAAAATGTAGTTTCATATGCTTTGGAACATAGATCCTGTAGAAGTCTGAATAGAACTGTTGGCTTATTACTTACACAATTTCTTTTTTTATCAGGGTGTGGTGTTTGTAAGAGAATGATGCCATCTTACCAACAGGCAGCCACAGAACTGAAGGGTAAATATGTAAGTGAGAAAAGATTTATATTTAAAAAATCCTTTTAAACCTTTATTTTGTTGAGTATTTCAAACCACAAATTCTTATCAAATTGGGGCATTTTTAAGCAAGTCTAAACAAACCAGAAATGAATAAGAATGTTCCAGATCCCTTCAAGATTCTCTCTCTTGGTTTTTATTCTTTTTAAAACTTTGGTGAATGAGATGTTAACTCACTTACCCTTTAAATCCAGTGTAGTTCTTGCCACCAAAAAACAGGCTCTGACACTATGTAGTTTTATCTTTAGCTTCCAGTTTGTCAGTTTGTAGTCCTGTTGAGGCCATGTTGCTAAAGATAAAGAAATGTTTGCCATAATGGGTTTGGTCAGCTTTTTGACCTGATGTTTCATTAAGGGATCAAGGATGGATACCCTTATAATTAATCCACTTTTTTAGAGGAGAATCAGTGTCATGGGAGAGGGGTTCCCTAACTTAGCTGCTGATCATCCTCCCAGCCATGAAACATAAGCGTTAATGAAATCTTACCGTTTTACTATAGCTCTGTCATTAAAGTTAGCATTCATACCAGATTGAAATGAAAATAAGTTTTGACCAGAATAAAATCCATCAACAGCAGTCACAATAATTTAGTTACTTGTTTGTACTAATAAGGCGTATTGATCTCTCTAAGCAAGTTGAAGGTGCTTCTCAAGTCAAGGTTTTATAATGTGCTTAATGTATAATTTATATGATACCAATAATACATGAGTGAAAAAAAAATAGGATTGTCATTTCATGGCTTTAGCTGGATTTGGTCTGATCCTACCTGTAGGATCATTCACTGTTGAGTTTACAGGTTTCCTCAGGAGAGGCAGCATGTGATGAGGAAAAGATGAAGCACTGCGGTTCATTGCTAGGGCAGCTCTGGCCAGTGCTTCTCATAAGCACCAAGTGCTGTCAGACTCCCCCATATTCTCCCAATGAGTTGTTTTTCAGAAGTGTTTTCTCTAAATCCTTATTTGCTTAGGGCTGAAATGAGTGGGAGTTGTTCAGATTTATTTAGGACATGGTGCAACCCTTTAAGATATTTTCAGGAGTGTTTTCGTCTCGCCAGGCAGCACTCTAATGCTATTTCCCCTCAGTGGAACGTGTACCACAGTATTTGGGAATTCAGTTCCGTCTTGCATGGCAGGTACATTGCGAGGCGGGGTGTGGGCAGGAATTAGGAATGTAAAGAATCACCTACAGAGGCAGTGCCAGAGAGAAGACATGCTGCAGAGTACTGTGCAGTTATCCCTTCCTTGTCCATGTGCAGCTCATTTTATTAAATTCAGGTTGGAGAGTTTAAACTCCAGATTTATTCTAGTTTGATTATTTCCTTCCTCGCTTGGAAATGCTTTCTGTAGATCCAGGCTAATCCTGCACAGCTGAGTGACAGGGCTGTGGCACAGCACTGAGGCTGGCAGTGCCTGTGCTCGATGCAGCTCAGGTCAGGGGTGCTTTTTGCACTGGAGCGTTTTTAATGCAGGATCAGTTCGGAGGAAAGTCCACTTATGCCAGTGCCTCCTGTGTCTTTCACAAAAATCACTCTATTTGTCTAAATTTGACCTAATTAGCTTCCTGAGTGGGATGTGTACACAGTTTGCCATTTATAAAGTTAACTGCGCTGTACCCATCATAAGTTATCCATGAGGTACCTTAGAGCGATGTTGACCTCCAGATCAGGCTTTACTGGGAAGTTTTTGATTGCTTTGGATGAGCTCAAGGTTTGGCCTTTTAATCTGACCTATCGTTAGCTGTCAGGATGTGCCAGGCTCAAAAATGATTATTGCTATTATATAGCAGGAAAATGAAGTACTGTATTGCCTATTTAATAGGTTGTAAAAATGAAAAGGTGAACTGTTCCTGTCGTTGGTCGCTGTGTTCTCTTGGGACTGGTTGTTTTTTGTCCCAGTATTGTTACTGAGAGGAAGGCAGAGGTGGCGTTTTGAGTGTTACATTCGGTTTAGATCTTTCAATTCCATTACACCCAGTGTGGAAGGAAAAAGCGGCTCTAAATCAGAGAAGAATGGCTTATTTTATCTGCCATTCTTCTCTGAGAGATTGCCATGGTTTGTAAGTACGGTGGGCTTTGGTGAGTGACTGTCCCCAATGCACTATATTCCCTGTGCAGGGAGGAACTGGTGGTCAGCAAAGCACTTGAGCATCTCCTTAATGCACATGGATTTCATGAGTGTGCCAAGAGTGCTTTACTCAGTAAAGACTGGCTTGAGTGTATGATTAAGTGCTTTCCTCCTTTGGTGCTAGTCTTTTTTTTTTTCTTTTTTTTTTTTTTTTTTTCATAAAAACATGAGACTTCAGAAGCATAAAGTTCCTACGCTTATTTCAGATATCAAATAAAAGAAGCCTTTGTTTAATCTGTTCATTAAACTTGGCTTTAGGAAGCTTCAAGTAATGGTGTAAGGTACCAATTTTGGAGCAATCTCGTCAGGAAAACTGTCACACAAGGGAAGGGGCCACAGTAGAACGGGAATGGTCAGAAGCCCAGAAGACATGGTCAGCTAGGAAAGTCTCAGAGTCGGTTTGGGTTATAGGTAGCTTGGTGGAAGGCAGATAACTGTTGAAATATGTCAAATATCACTGCAGAGGTGAAAGGAATAAACTGATCTTTGTGTCTGCTGTGGCTATTACAAGAGGTAATGGACTTAAATTGAAGTCAGGGTCATTCAGTCATTTCCTAAAAGCAAATTAGCTAAACATCTGGCAGGAGCAGCTTAGGTATAAAGGGAGGATCCTGGCTTTGGGTATTAGCTGTATTTTGATGGTCCCCGACAGCCTGATATTACATAATTCTGTGATCATAGGCTGGCTAAAGCTCTTACTTTTGTCATTAAAGACAAATCCCATTGTAATAGGCTTTTTGCTAATTATGCTTCATATGATGTATGAACACCAGAATGAATCCAAGTTATTGACTTGGATCAATCACTGCAGGCTGAGAGGGCACTGAAATTGTAGTAGAATATCTGAAATGACCGAGAACACCCATTTAAACCTCGGAATTCCTCTGAAAGTTCACAGCAAATGCAAAATCTGATAGACTGGTGTTTACGAGGGAATTAATTAACAAACCTGGTTCTTATTTTATAAAGCAACAACTGTGCCTTGATCCTATTGCATTTACCTACCCTCAGAGAGGATAAGGGAAGGGGAGAGTTGGATATAGATAATCTCATACGAATTAAGTCAATCGGGTTGTTGGAACTACAAGGAAAATTCAAAGAAAAGAGTCTTGGCCAGCCAGTGTAAACCTTATTTTTGTATGCTTCTCAGTTAACTTCCTTTTATTCTTTCTCAGGGTAGGGGAGAGAAAACAAAGTATCTTTTTTGTGACTTTCCATCGCATTCTTAGAAAAGGTTGACCTTCAAATGAGGATTTTCTGCTTTAAGATTTATTTCATGCTGGCTCTGAGCACATTTGGTTGGTCTGTGCAGTTTGCTGCAGTCAGGAACCTGGTATTAAATTCTGATGTGGTATTTCAGCTGGAAGGAGAAAATCCTGGTTTTGGAGGGGGAAGGAGGAGGGGTTTGGATTAAGACCCTGCTGCTAAAATGATTTAAGCCGTCAATGCCATAAAACTAAGTTAATCATGAAGTGGTATCTCAGCAACTTGCTGGTTGAAGGTTTGACAGCAGAATGACCTTTGTGTGAATCGCACACCCACAGAAACTCAGAATCAGTCCCATCTTCAAATTTTCAGGTCAGAAATTTTTGGAAGACAATTGGATAGGGCTCAGTATAAGTCATAGGAGCCCTGAGCCTGAAGCTTGGAGTGAAGGGCTCTGGAGGTGGAGGATGGGTTGGGGTAGAAGTAAGGAAAGGCAAGGAGAGGCTTTTTATTTCACTTGCTAGTCTGAAAAGTTACTGTGCTTCTGTGCCCCTCTTCTGGTATCTGTAGGACAAGGTTAATTCTTAACTCTCATTATACCCTACCAGGCAGGTAATTTAATGCATTTAAAGCACATAAATGCCATGTGGTACTTCCTGGGCTCATGGAAATAGGGCATGTTTTACTTTCACATTAATTTAATGCTGATTTCCCCTTGCTATTCAGTAAGTGCATTTTTTGAACTGGAATAGCACCAGTGCTTAGCTGGTTAGAGTGTCTGGACGTTAGCTGAGGTTGTAAATTCATCGCTGGAGTGGAAACCAGAGAGTTGAAGGGTGAACTTTTTGTGTCCTAGCTAATGTTTGGATGTGAACTAAGCCATGTACTTACAGAAGAAGGAAAAAACAAATCTAGTTAGGCTTGTAGCTTAAAATCCAAATACGCAAAGAGTATTTTGAGTGCGATTGAGAGAATTCCCTTTAGGTATTTCTGTTAGTAGGTGAATAAAAAGAAATAGAAGATGCTCCCAGAGCAAGGAGGAGGCGACAAGCTGATTGGTGTGTGCATTCTGTGGACTAGACTAAAATACTGCTCTATTCCCGCTTGCACAAAATCAGAAAAACTTCACTGCCTTTTATAGAGCTCCCTTTGCTTTACAGCAATCTGAATGAAATCAGAATGCCCAGAGCTTAATTGTTTTTACTTAACTCTATAAAAAAGTTGTACTGTACCTGCTGTATTGTAAGAATCAATACAATTCTGCTCATTTTTTTTTTTCAGGTTCTTGCAGGGATGAATGTTTACTCTGCTGAATTTGAAAGGATAAAGGAAGAATACAATGTCCGGGGATATCCTACAATCTGCTATTTTGAGTCAGTTACGTTTTGCTACTACTTTAGAAATCATACACTCAACCATAATTACACATTCTTATCTTCCAGACCAAGAACTAAACTGTATTTTGTTGCTTTAACAGGAAAGGAAAGTTCCTGTTCCACTTTGAGAACTATGGTGCTACCGCAGCAGATATAGCAGAGTGGCTGAGAAAGTAAGGCATTGAACTTCATACGCTCCACCTTTTATGTACTCTTCATTATTTACAGAATGTAATGGTTTGGGAACAGCCATCTCTCTCTCATTCCCTCTGCTCAGAAGAACAAACAAAACTACCCCGCTGAGACTGGCTAAACTAGTACATGGAGATTGACTAACGTTTAGGTTTTGGTATGCATGCCTTGCATCTTACAATTGCATTTCAGCTGTAGTAGGAGACTCTGTGGACCAAAATAAATGCACAGATCTCAGCTTCGTTAAAAATGCCATCTTAAATTTCCAGTGATCTTGGGTGCCTGAACTTAATACCTTGCAAAAGGTCTGACTTTGTTGTTTTATTAAAAATGTATACACCAAGTACGCAGTTCTCACTGGTTCTTCAGCAGTTTCTTGCAGAGACAAACAGGAGATCAAGGCACCCTGGATTGCTAGCTATTTTTACAAAGTCTGTGTTTCCTGTCATGACATGAAGTGGTGTTGAAAGCATCTTGTTCTACCTAAAGAGAGCTATTTGCAGTCATAAATATTTTGGGGGCTGGATGAGCCTATGGGACTAGCAGTTGAGAGAGAGAGACAGAAAAAGTGTGTGAGTGTGTGTATAGTTGCTCTTCAGCTGGTGCAAATCAGCACATTGTCAGTGAAGCTGATAGAGCAGCTGGGGTGAGCTGAGATAGTCTGGTGATGGAGAAGTGCCATGAGCAGTTAGCCCTGGCTCTTGGGCATTATGTCATCTTTGTAACCCTCTTTTGTTTGCTGCAGCCATGGGAATAATCTTGAAGTGAAGCTAATGAAAGGAAACAAATGCATGGGAAGGAGCAGTTGCAAACTATAGTGATAACATATAGCTTAGCAAAATTGGCTCAGAATAAATGTGTTTTACTGTACCAGTGGGTCTATGCTGGGGACATGCATATGGTTGCAGGCAACCCAGGGTCTTCAGCCATGGTAGGCTAGGTGCTTCAGGATTGAGAACCCATGAATGAAGTGACAGCAGCGTTCCTGTTAGAGCTTCAGGAGGTGCAAACACTGCAGGCATGTACTGCCTGGTGGATCGAAGAGGAGGAATTTAGCCATAGTCTTTAAGCCTCATTTAGTCCATTAAGCCTTCAAATATGAATGATCAAGATGGCAGCTGCAGCAATGCTGAGGAGATAATCAGCCCTTGGAGCAAGGATATGACTTCATCACCTGCACTTTATTGTGCGTTTCAGTTTTGCAAGGATGTGGTTATCTCTTGGCTACCACATGTGAAACATTAGATGTTTGGGGTGGGTTTTTTTCCCCCCTGTCTACCCACATAATATCCAGATAATCCCTGTAATATGTGGTGCCTTTATATCAGTGCTGTGACAGCAAGCGAACACAGCTACTGGAAGCAGAACAGCTGCAAGCTCTTTCCAATGATAATCTCTGCTAACAAGCCACTGTGGGCTTGGCTGGTATTTCAGCAGTCCAGAGCTAAAGACAGCTGTTTGTCCTCACTTAGTGTTAGTGCATGCTTATTAGTTTGCCAGAAGATGATCTGAGCAGTAGCCTTCTTGCCCATTTTGTATAAGCAAAACTTTTAAGGAAACCATGTTGAGAAATTATGCATACTTTAATTTTGCCAGTAATTGATGTTGCATCTAAAACTGTACACTGGGTAAATGCATACATGCATAATATTCTATTACTCTGAGGAATCTGCAGTGCAAGTAGTTAAATGGTATGGCAAGGACTTTAGGAAAGCCAAAGAGTGTAATTGGATAGCTGCAGGGTGTGTAGGCTATATTTCAGAATAATATAATACTAAAATCATGTCAGGAAGTTGCTCTGATGCGAGATGTTGCTCTGTGGAGCAGAGGCATGGCAGTGCCAGAGTGTACCTGGCAGCCCATGGCTAGGAAAGCCAATGCATTTTTATACTGTGCATCCATGTGCTGTCATCATAGATTCTCAAAGGAGAATCCAGCAGACATTGAGCCATATGAAATGACCTATTTTTGTGGACACTAGGTACACGCTGCAGAAAAGCAGCTGTTTTCCCTCTCCTCCTCTGTTTTTTCCCTCTAAATTTTACTGGTAACATGCTAAAGGTGGTTGATCTATGCTAATTTTTTGGGGAGGGCATGATATAACTTAATGAAGGTTAGAATTATATAAATTATTGGAAGGATGTTTTCCATGTTCTTTCCTCTAAGAACAAGAGCTGCTAGTTTGGAGGACTCCAACACGTTTTCTTTTACTGCTTATTGAAGATGCTTCTTTCTTATGCTGAAGTGTGCTAATGCATCAGTCTTAGGGATGCTTAACCTCTCTTACCTTCCTATTAGGCACTGGCTACTATCTTATGAAATTTCAGATGTTTTCATGAGGCAATAGAGAGAAACTGTCATACAGCCTTACTCACACACAGCATTATTAACACTCTATCAGCCTGGATGGTAGGCAAGCCAGACAGCTTCTTGCTACCTTCAGTAGCTGCTTAGCTTGTCTTGCTGTTTTTACAGACTCCTCTCGGGCACTTGCTTAGCACCAGCTACACAGTTATATCAAGAACTTGTTCTCTGTTCTTAATTGAATTAGCTCTTGACAACTCTTACAGACTTCTGTCATCCTATTTTTGGTCTTCAGGCGTTGGATGTCCCTTGTCTCAGTTTTAAATGACATTTCAGATTTTGCTTGCTTCCTCCAGGCCTTGAGGTGCTTCTTACCAACTCCTGTGTAGGCTTATTAGCATGCACAGCATTTTAAATTGGGCCATTTGAATAAACACTCTGTGCCCTGCTTTTCTATTCCTTACTGAAATAGGTCATGCCAGGCCCTGATAAACTCAACATTCTCCCTGTGCTTTGTAGTCCCTGTGTCCATGTTCATCATGCTCTGCCTGCTCAACCCAGCTCCCCTTCCAAATTCATTAAGTGACATGGTGTTTCCTGGAAAGTCTTTGGTCTGATAGGATACCTGCACAGTCTGGCTTCTTACAGGCTTCGCAACAAGCAAACTGATTATCTGCTAAGCTTTTAGAGAGCAAACTCTTGTGGACAGGGACCTGACTCTTCTTCTCTCTCGCCTGCTTAGCCGAGTGCAGCTCTGATCGTTGCGTTGATGTTTGTTTCTTGGTTCGTTTATCACATAAGCAGCAGCAGAGGTGTGCATCACAGTTTTGCATGGATTGCTTAATATTTTTGAATCATACCCATTGCTTACATCAACAGAATTTGCTGTCTGAATCTGTGTATCTCTACTGCTTTTTTTTTTTTTATCAAACTAGGCTTTCAGCCTAGAAATGAGCAAGGCAGGATAAATGAGTTATCATCTGTTTGCCATTCCTTGTTCCAGGCAGCTAACACAATAATACATTTTAATAAAAAATAGTAAATCTACTTTCACCAGAGATGGGGTCACATGCAGACCTGTACTTTGCCAAAGAATTTGGGGAATTTTGGGGTGGATTGGGAATTCATTACTACAACTGGCAAGGATAAAATGACTTCAAAGTCTGACTCCAAATGTTGATATGTTTGGATGTCCTTTGTGTGAACACTACTTTAATAAATAAAATGTCAATTGACATAGTTTAGTTCATGTCTACCAAATTATCTTTTTAATGTACATTAATAAAAGCCAAGAACAATTGTTTAGTGGGATGATGAACACTGAACTAGTCCAGAGGAGCCTGAGTTCAGTTTCCAGATCTGTCACTGTGTCTTTGAGCGGTCTCTCTGGCTCCATTCCATCAAATATGGTTAAACTTGTGCAATCATAGTGAAGTTGGTAGAACATGGCACTTATCTTTAGCTTAACGCGTGCAGTTGATTAGTTTTGCTGAATTAGGCCTACAAGCCCACTGCTGAGTGGGGACATAACAACGCTTCCCCAGGTCATAGGGTTGTTCAGGGTAAAACCGTATATTCCCGAGGAAGTGGTCTGTGTAGCTAGCTCATGATCCCAACACTCCTCCTTTCTCTGTCAGCCCTAATCACGCTGTCAGTATTCAAGGTGACTGGGTTAGACTGGCTGTTTCTGCTTGCTACTTCTTTCTTTCGTTTGCAATGGCTCCTGTGCACTGCAAAGTGTGAATACTGTGAGAGAGGGAGCATCCTGCTGAGGAGAGTAAAAGAGGAACAGAAAATCCATCTGATTTCTATAATGTAATAACTAAGCGGTCTGGTTATCTCCTCGCTCCATCCCCTTCCATTGCTGATCTCTTCTCTTGACCTTCTTGTGGATTTTTTTTTTTTTTATTCCTCCTCCAGTTTTATATGAGTTTCAGTGCTTATGAGTTATGGGTGGGTACAGTTATGGAAACTTTTCAGTAGGGTTAGTGTGTTGTGCATGTACAGACATCTGCACAGTGTGGTCGTTTGCAGTTCAACTTGCCAAAATGACTGCTTAGCACCAGAGAGCTGCTTTTCAGCTGTGTCTGTTTGTCTTGTAGCCCACAGGCACCTCAGCCACAGGCTCCAGAGACTCCCTGGGCAGATGAAGAAAATGTAGTTTATCACCTGACTGATGAGGACTTCGACAAGTTTATAAAAGATCATTCGTCAGTGCTAGTGATGTTTCATGCACCATGTAAGTTTGTTTTTTTCTATTCTGTACCTGAGCCAAACGCATGCTAACAAAACCAATCATGATTTTCTGTGGAGGTTTCACAGACCCATGAACTCAAAGTCCAGGCTTTTCTTGTTTGTGATGATTCTTAAATAGACAAGGCATGAAATGGTTGTAAAGTTGCTGACTTCAAGTTTAGGATGGAGATGTGCTGCTGGAAGAGACACTATGTAGGGTGAGTCAAAATGTAACTGAAGAGTGTAATGACGCTTAAATAGTCTGAAGACACATCATTTTACAGCATGATTTCCCATTTTCAGCTAGTCTTCTGTGTTGTTTGCTTTCAAAGCAGAGCTCTGGTTGATTGAGAAACTCAACTTGAGACCTGTGAGCTCCTGAGTCCTTGTTCATGGCCACTGATGTGTCATTTTGAGCATTTTCGTTCCTCTGCTGCAGTTTGTTCTTTGGCAGGGTAAGGGGTGATGGTCATTACGTATTGTGCTGAAGTATGATAAAACTTGACATAAGTTCAGAAAGTCCCCAGGACTTTTGAAAACTAACGTAGAGCTGGTAGTGATACTGCTTACTGTTTGACTGAGAATGTATTGGAGTGATTTTTTTTCATGACTTGACATTTTAGCTTGAGCAATAGAATGCCTAGAGGTATTGCCCTCAGAAAGCTGTTCCAGCCACGTTGTCCTCCTGTATGCTGTTGGGTGGAAGAGTGGTTTAACCACATTGTTCACTTAGGATGTAAGTTGTTTGAGCTGTGTAGCTGCTTTTACCAATTCTTTGTGTCTGTGATGGAAAAGTGGAGGCTCAAATCTATGTTGGGTGATACACAGCTTCTGTCTCCTCTTGCTGCTGTGCTGGCAGTTGCACTTGGGTGAGATGTTAATTTTCATGGGCATAGATTTGAAGGTTAGGGCTCTGGAGGCAGGCTGTGTGCTCACAGCTGGACAATGGAGGGCCTTGGCACAAAGGCTGAAATCCTGCTTCCCTTTAAGCCAACAGGAGTTAGCTTCAAATGCCTTTTTTGAAGGTCTGCTCATAAGACTCGTTTGAAAAACATACCATAATGAATTTCCTTTGCCCAATGAAATGTCTAGGGATTTGATCCACTGAAGCAGGTGACTGGCTGCTGTTCTGTCACTGTGTTCACTGGATTATTTGTACTAATGAAAGTGGGACTGGAGATTAATGCCTGGTCTGAAAGCCAAAACACAAGTAGCAGAACTGATGAAGTCTGGTTTGCTCAGGAGTTATCCTTCATTACCCAAATCCTTCCTTCCCCAGATTTCCATGCACCCCAGCATGTAAGCGACAGCAGAGGCTGCTGCTCCTCGGGAGCTGTACGCTTGCTGCTTGGGCTGAACAACTGCTGACAAACAGAAATGTAGCTGCTGAATTTCCCTTCTTTCCCTCTCTGTGCACAATGGCTTGGGATAAGTGTCCTCTCTCTCTAGCCCCAGATTTCTGTATTTTTAGAGAGATTTAGTTGTATTTACAAGCTTTCCTGTTTTTTGAGTTTGTAAATGGGCAAAGAGTGCAGTCATGTATTTGGGAGGAGGAAGAGAGGGAAGAAATCAATGGTTGGCCCTGCAAACTTTATTCCATTAGGAAGTGTGATTAAAAATAGATGAATATGCACAAATACAATCAAATTTTGTAGTAAATACAAGTTAGTTATAAATTGGAACAGGGCTCTATTTAGTTTTCAGGGGTTTTTTTTAATACCTTCTAAACCACAAATAATACAGTTTTAGTGGTACCAATATTACATGACCCATTTGGAGAGGAGGAGTACTTCCAGCTAGGTATATCCTGTACTAAGGGGCATTCTGTGCTAAGGTACAGCAGTACTTTGGCAAATGCTGTTTCAAAAGTAAATCAAATGCCTGAATCAGGCTGTTGCAGTCTCCTGATAACATGTTTCAGCTGCTCAGAGTTAGAATAAAGAATGTTCCTTACCAGAACAACTCTATTTTAAATGCAACTTGAATATTTGGGGCATTTTATTTACATTCAGTAGTGGTGGTGGTATGCCTACGTGCAGAATCCAGCTTGTACATGTGTAAAAGATCTGTGTTTGAGAATCCTCTCTGGACATCCTCAGCAGAGAGTGTAAGGGCTTGCAAACTAATTACCAACAGACAATTATCATAAACAGTTATCTCCATGATTAAAAGATCTTCTCCTAACACTTCTTAAATGTGCTAATGGAGTCACCTTATGAATATTAGGAGATAAATTACTCTAGTAAAAGAAATGGTAAAAACGGAAAACATCTTACTTGTTTTAACCTTGGTAGCTTAGAATGAGAAAGTTTCTTCTAAAAATTATGTATTAATAAAAAAAAAATGTTGAAATAGATGTACAAAATAGGCCCAGAACTCAGGATATACTTCTGTGTAACTAAGAGTAAGCATGGGGATTTCAACAGTGGCCTGGAATTAGCAAGTACTTGAAGTCCTGTGTCACCATGGAGTGTACGCGTGACTTGGAGTTTTTCTAGCATTTGTCAATCTTGTGTTTCTGAGAAGTTCTTTTACTAGGAGGAGAATGATTTTGGTGATGCTTTAATTGCATAGTCAAGTGGCCAATGCATTAATAAGTCTAGTATGATAAGATGTGTGGGGAATTGGAAGCTTTTTATCCTCCCCCTGCCCCACCCGTACAAGTGCTGAAGATACAGCTGAACCAAATGCATCCCTGGTAAATACCTGTGAACTGCAGAATTATGCACTGTGATGAATGTAGCCAATTGGGTCACCATGCCTGTGACTACTAATGATCATCCCTGCGGACCACACTATAATTATTTATAATCAGTTGCACTTACTAGCATCACAGCATTTTGTGTAAAGTGCAGCCTAGCATAACTAGGTTCAACTAGAGCAGCTGCATGTGATTTAAACACATCAGGAAGGTCTGCAGCATGCAACTTGCATCTCTTGCTGTCAGAGACCTTATACCTTTCCTGCAATAATTTAGTACAACCATTAAATGGAAGATGTGCTGTTTCGAGTCATTACTGCTGATCCCGAGAAATGTGGGTGAGTGTGGGTGGGCAGGATGAGGACACTCACTAAGGACACAAAGCAGGATTTTTAACCTTCTGAAATTCCTTTGTAAAGCCCTTAAGAGGATGTTCAATAAACCTGAATATTTAGCATAGGTAAACAGTGACCCAAACAGCCAGGAGTATGAAGGCACTCTCCTGCCCTAGCCATCTCCAAAGGGTGTGCAGCATTATGCTCCTTATATGAGCATTTTGTAATTTCGTAATTGCTGGTGGTGAGCATAGTGTTATCCTGGATACATCCAGATGGAGTCTTGCAGACCTCTGTTTTTTATATGTACCCAGAAAATTCAGTCATGAATGGAGATCTCCTGCACTATACAAAAGAACAAATAAATGTCACTTTCCCCCAAAGGATCTGGAGTTTTCACTTATATTGATCATATTTGCTAACACGAGATAGCACAGTTATGTTAAGCGAGCCTGTTTCCAAGTCTCTAACTGAAGATTTATCATACCAATCAAAGCTATTTCTGCACCACAATATAAATAAAGGCACCTATGCAGCTTATGATAGTCTTCTGTTAGCAATGAGAATAAAGACTCCATGTCTGTATCTGCTGCTTGGTATCTAAGCCTACAGCTGATCAATCAAGATGACAGCTGTGTTCTGAATGTCTCTAAATTGGGGTTATGCTGCCCATCAAGTGTTACTAAATGCTTTAGTGGCACAACGACTCGCTAGGACTTAAAATGCTCCTGAATCACTTGAGCACAAAAAAAGCCCTGTTTCTGTTTTCAGTTGTCCCCATCATACTGTTCGTTGAGTCAAATGCAATTTTAAAAATAATTCTGTCCAAAATATTTGCCAAATTAGTGCAGCTTACCGCCTTTCAGACTTGCTTTTGTCGAAGGAATAAAAACCCCAGAAATTGCCCTTTCTACATTTTTCCCAACAGTTTTCTCCAAGGCACAGTCTCAGTCTTGCACAAAATAAACGTAACCAAACTGCTGATAAGTTAATTCAAATGCTACTGGAGGGTGTTTAAAGTCTAGGATTGAAATTAAGGTCAATTCAGAAACGGGTTCTAAAAGCATCTGCTTTTCATGCCCAGGAGTTACTTTTCATTATGTTTTGTTAACCCAAATGACGCTGCTAACATTTTAAAGTGTACCTGTTCCTTCAGCCTCGTGTACAATACTGTCCTGGCCCCACCACAGGCTGTAGCCTCCCCAGGTACATTCAGCAAGTGCAGATGTGAGTAGTCCCTGTTGCTGATAAGTAGTGGTCGTCAGTCACCTCTGATGATTGCTTGGGGTTGCTCCCCCTGCCCCATACCCCATCAGCCATAACGAAGTCCATGGTCCAGTAGTGATGCCAAAGGTATCAGAGGGGAGTAAGGCGCTTTGGCTGTGCTGTTAGTGTGTGTGTATTTACTTTTTAAAGGACTAAGCTATTAAAATGTTTTTCCTGCAACATTTCTTCCTTCTACATGAGCTTAAATTAGTGTTAAACCTGCCTTCTTCACAGGATGTCTTCAGAGACTTTATATAAGCTGTAGTTGCAGGACTCAAGGTTTAAAAAAAAAATGGTCAGTATCCTTAGTGGGTTATTGGAGCCATCGTGGTTTTCCTGCCTTGATAAGGATGGAAGGCAGGGAAAATGCAGTGCCTTTTTTTTTTTTTTTTTTCCTTCCCCTCTTCCTCTCCTTAATTTGTTCTTGGAAACTGCTTTGGAGATGCAGCTCTGATACACCTTTTCTCACTCCCCCCCAATGGAAGGGAGGGCAGAGGTAATTTTTGAGATGATGAAATGCACTATGGCTTTGAGGTATCGTTGAAATGTCTGTGAAATTCCTTTCCTGTCCTTAGATATTTTCTCTCCCTTTATAAACCAGCCCGATTAAATTATTCAGTTGGTGCTTTCCAACTATTCAGCTTTGCAGGTTTTTAATTGCACAGAAAGCTGTTTTATCAATTTAGCTTTGAAAAACAGATT